ACTTGGGATTTAGTCATTATAAGAGAGAAGAAAGTCCGTGGATTCGGTTTGACTAAAATATATAAATATATTGTAATGCTGATAGAAGAGATACGTTTTTCGTCGAGGCAAGATTTTTTTACGGTCAAATTGAACCAGCATAAACGAGTCTTGGTCGCAAACCCCAAAGCAAGCCTCCGTCTCTCTGAGAAACCAGTGTTATGGTCTACTCCATCGGCTCAGAAACACCACACAAAACATTAAACAGAGGATTCTCCATCTACAGAAAAAGTTTGGTCTCGAAAATTTACCTTCCCCCGAGTGAGAAAGGAAAGAAGTCTCTTTCCTTTCTCTCTCTTGGGGGAAGGTAAAGGAGACTCTGCTCGCAGGGTAACATCAGAATGGAAATATTGCGAAAAACGTATCTCTTTCCCTACGCTTCTTAGTAAATTTGCCCCCCAAACAATACGGCGTCGGAAACCTTGAAAGGATCTATAAATACATTAATATAAAACTCGTGTGAGTACTCTTTTATGTAAATTATGACGCAGTAAATTCCTCGTCCACCCACTCATTGAAGGTTTCGGCATGAAAACCCCTTTTTTCATAAAAAATATTTGACTAGAAATAGATAAGTTTAGCTAACCAAAACCAAAAATCATTACTTTAGTTAATACAATAACATATAACTCGTGCGAGTACTATTTTAGATCAATGACGCAGTAGAAATTCCTGGCCCGCCCTCATTCAAGCTTCCGGCATGAAATACGTTTTTTTTTCATAAAAATATTCGACTAGAAATAAATATGTTTTGCTAATCAAACCTAATATCATTTTTCTAGCTAATAAAATAATACAAAACTCGTGCGAGTACTATTTTACATCAATGACGCAGTAGAAATTCCTGGCCTGTCCATTTATAATCTTTTGTTTACGTAACTAATTCGAGTTGTATCAAAAAACAAAAATCGCACTTTAAGTTTCTAATTTAGCTCCAGTTTCTAATTATCTGCTTAGAATACTACCAAATTAAGTTTAAAGTAAGTTGGATTAAAGCACTCTTACCACCAAAACCACATATTTTCAACCTCTTTCAACGCCTCCTTGTCTCGACGTGCATTTTCACCTCGTGTCTCACCAATGTCAATCATGACGAGGTCCACCAATGGCATCTTCGACATAGGTTTCATGTTCGTAACAC